CAGACAACCAACACTTCCGTCTCGTTCATGAAAGAATATCTGCAACCAAAGTATGTTGGGGTAAGTCGAAACACTCTTCGTGCCAATATAATACAATATTTCAATAATTCAAAACAACAATTAATTATGGATTTACAACAATATGAGGGTGTTATATTTTTAACTTCTGATATATGGGATGTGGTTAATAAAAGAGCATATATAGCTGCAACTGCATACTATATAGACCCACTTTGATGCATGCATAAAAAAATTATTGTTTTTAGAATTATTGAGTTTCCTCGTAATGCTAATAATATATGTAATGTTATTATCAGTATTATTAGAGAATATAATTGCGAGACTAAAATTCGATCTTTTACTTTTGATAATACTAGTGTTAATAAGGTAGTCGTCGATAAATTGTGTAAGGCACTTCAACCTGATTTTGGTAGGTATTTGTTTCATATTCGTTGTGTATGTCATATCTTGAATTTAATTGTGTAAGATGACTTAAAACATATAAATGATGAATTTCAGAGGATTAAGAATGCATTAGTATATATTACGATCTCTCCTAATAGAAAACAAGCATTTGAAGATTTTTGTGCTGAACTAGGGGTGACGTTTGCTAAAACATTTGTTAGCGACGTAGGCCATAGATGGAACTCTACTTACTTGCTATTAAAGTCATGTGAATGTTTCGAACATTTAATAACTGACTTTTATAACAATATACATGTTAGAAGCGATGACGATGATATGTTGAATGAATCCAATTGGGTTTTAACTTTAAAAGTTAAACGATTTTTGACATTTTTACGAGACCACAAAGATTTTATTGGACGTTTATTATCCTACAAGCTATAAGGTGCTTGAACGCCTTTATATAATTGGAAGAACATTCCATAAATATAAAAATGATCCTAATTTTAGAGAATTTTAATTGTTATGATATTAAAGTTTAGAAAATATTAGGAATAACTGCCTATATTATTTCCTTTAGCATGCACAATAGACCGCCGATATAATATTTCGGGAACTAAATACGTAATTGATCAAATAAAAAAATCTTAATACTTGATACACCTATCACCTATAAGAATTTAGAGCAAATATTATGTGGAATGTATGATTTATATGCAAAGAGAATGAGTGCGAATGTTAGTCGGGTACCATTTGCACTTACTCCTTCGGCTGAAATTGAAGAAGATGATGGCGAAATAATGAATTTATTCCAAGGCATTAATACATTTAATAACTGCAATGTGTTCATCTAGTGCCATGTCGTCTACATTTGCATCTCATCAAACATCGATCGCAACTCAAAATGTGATGCCTGCCTTCAATCATAATATATCAACAAACGGAACAATGAAAAAAGTTCAGAAGAAGTAATTGAATTCTAGCGAAAGTATGAAAGACATTGGCCAATTGTTTCTGCAATTGCGAAAGATCTACTGACACCTCCAATTAACATTGTTGCTTCGGAGTTAGATTTTTAGTGCAGGTAAAAGAGTTTTGACCGATATTAGGAGCCGACTGAAAGAAGATGTTTTGGAAGCGTCAATATGCGTGAAGGATGACAGGATGCTTATTTTTTATTACAAGATAAATACGTTGAAATTGCATATCATCGGGTAACTGATATTTAATTTAATTATATTAATCAAAATTTTTCTTATTTTTTAATCGTTAAATTTAATATTCTTTAAAAATTTGTACACGTTACAACAAGTTGTTCGTGTATAATTTTTAACTCTGCTTACTTAAAATTGATATAGCCGGTCTCAAGCCTGGATATAGAAGGAGGGTTTATATTTTATCTACTTTAAAAAAGAAAAAAAATGTAGTTTTTGTAAATATATTTCAAAAAATAATTCGTCTTTATTACATAAATATTTTATACTTTATAAAAAATATTACAATATGATAGAAATTAAAAAAAAAAGCGTCTTCATTAAATTATTTGTATTTTTTAACACTTTTTATTTTTTTTAAAAGTGTTTTCATTACATCATTTGTATTTTTCTCTATTTGAAAAAAATAAATAAATAAATGACGAGCTCGCGAGTCAAAGTTTGGCTTGGCCTACAAGCTCGGGGCCGAGCCGAACTTGTCCAAAATCAACGAGCCTAGCTTGAGGTCGGCTCGCCTCGAGTGCGAGTTGAGCTCCTGAGGTTAAGGGCCGAGTCGATTGACATCACTAGGTGCAGGTGGTGATGGTTGTGGCGTAGGTGAGATGAAAAATGGATTTTGATTAGGTAATTTGGTAAATTGTGATCAATAGATAAAATATGACCTATAAAAATGTGTGATGTACAATTGAATATGTATTTTGGACAGACAAAATTGTGTCTTCGTGATTGTGACTTTGTGTAATTTGTGATTAGTATGTGATCGTGATCATAAATTATGTGTTATCATGATCGTGATCTGCTAAATTAAATTATAGATTACAAAGATTTATCAGATGTCACAAAATATGACCACTTGATTTTTGAAAAAATTTCACACGTTTATCATTTTTTAATTTGTATTTTGAAACCTTTGTAGTTATGTATTTTACCCATTTAAAATTTTTTCAAAGAATTTACTTTCAAGCCCCAAATATAATAACAAGTCCGAAAAATTGCAAACTGCTTTAAAAACTTGTACTAGTTTCGAGCTTTTAAATTTTTTTATTCTCAAAATATTGCTTTTAAATTTTTTTACACGTATTTTCTAACACACTGTTACGTTGTTAGACAAATTGTTCCTTCCACCTACATCGTCATAGCTACTAATTACATAAATTAAATTATAGATTACAAAGATTTATCAGATGTCACAAAATATGACCACCTGATTTTTGAAAAAATTTCACATGTTTATCATTTTTTAATTTGTATTTTGAAACCTTTGTAGTTATGTATTTTACCCATTTAAAATTTTTTCAAAGAATTTACTTTCAAGCCCCAAATATAATAACAAGTCCGAAAAATTGCAAACTGCTTTAAAAACTTGTACTAGTTTCGAGCTTTTAAATTTTTTTATTCTCAAAATATTGCTTTTAAATTTTTTTACACGTATTTTCTAACACACTGTTACGTTGTTAGACAAATTGTTCCTTCCACCTACATCGTCATAGCTACTAATTACAAAAATTGTGTTACATTTGTAACAATAAATCTTCTTGCTGTCACCATCGCTGCTATCACTGTCGCCTACACTATTTGTAACATTCATTGTAGCACCAGCATTGTCGCCACCACACAGGTTGGCAATGACGATGTTGGGCTGGTTGTTGATAGGGGTTTCTTCCAAATTTTGTTAAAATCTTGAGCAAATTTCTTGTGAGTAATTTTGGGCTAAACGATGGTGGTGCTTTGTGGCATCGACGATGTGGAAGGAGATCTACTTGGTGGTGGTGGTTTCCAACAGTTTTTGCTCAAATCTTGAACCAATTTCTTTCTAGTAATTTTGGGCTAAACAATGACAGTGTGCGTCCTTGATGTGTGGTGGTAATGGTGCTTGATTGTGCGAGGTGGACATGTGGTAAATAGGGATCTATTTAGGATTGGATTAAAAATATTTCAAGTGGAGATAATATGTGAAAAAAAGTTAAACATTATTTTGTTTAACATATCAAAAATGAAATGTAATGGGAACTCGATCCTCTTCCCACTACATCCGCCCGTAGTGGTGGGCTATCATAAATTCATAATCGATGTATTTGTGTTTGAGTTTGCACGTACGTGTTAGATCCATTTGTGTGTATTTTTATGTATGGAAAATAAAAAGTCAAAGAAATAAAAAAGTTAATTAGCTTACGACCACTAAACAAACTTGGTTGACGAACATAGTTTATGCGCCGCTAATGTAGCGGCTTATCGAGCATTTGATCATCTTACACCATCCATTTCATATAGGATTTGTCCCGTGGACACACGAGCAATCCAACCTAAAGGATTTCCTTTTCCTCTTCCCATTCATACTTCCGTAGGTTTTCTAGTAATAGGGATATCCGCGAGAACTATTACCCATATCTTACAATTTCTTCGAAATTGTTTATAATTTTAAAAGAGATAAAAGGTGGTGGATTAATTTTCGACTAATTTTATTTTACATAAATCATTTATTTTTGTTGTTCAAAAAGAAAAATTATATTTATTAGGTTGGGAAATTTATTTTGCCTAAAGTACATTTCGTCCCTGGAAAATGCGAAATTGTAATTGGGTCTCAAACTTGCCAAATTCTGCAATTTACCTATAAGGCAGAAGATAAAATCCTCAGACTTGACATACTTGATACTTCCCCAAGAAATCTACGACGCCGAGGTTTCTTAAATTATAATTAAAGTTACTAACCTTTCGAGAAACTGTAAGGTACTATTTTCCCAATTTGTAAATGTTAGTAGCAGCCTTAGTGTGTTGAACTTTAATTTTAATTTTTAGTGCTTGTCTGGTAGAGATTTCTATAATTGATTTTTTGATCGTTAGAGATAAAATGGGTCCTACGTGTAAGAAGAATTCAAAAACGACGATTGGAACAGAGAAATAATGATCAAAAAATTGATTTTAATTTACTTAAAATTTGTACCAAACAAACTCTAAGTTGTGTAATATGTTATATTTTGACGTTGGTTCAATATTGTGCATAAAATAAAGGAATAATCCAAAATTGACTAAGTAATTAAATTATTAAATAGACAAATAGAATAAATTAATTAAATTAAGATAAAGATGGAAGACTATATAATTTATTGTCGGTTTATTTGACTCCAACATCCAAACAGCCCAATTTCCTATAATTCATTGACATGGAGAATCAGTTCTCAACAGCTCCGAAGAATCAAGAAATTGGCTTCCTATTTATTCTCGCTGATCAACAATCTTCCACTAAAATTCAGAAAGCAAAAGATCGTAGGATTCTTGTGTTTCAGAAATGGCGCAGCCTAGCAAAGAGCCATGTAAGAAACAAGCCTGTGATATTCAAGCTTGCCTTTCCAAGAACAATTTTCTCTCTCAAAAGTACGTATTTCTATTGTTATCATTGACCCCTTTTTGTTGCCCGATTAATTAGTTTTCGTTATTCAAATACGTTAAAAGAATTTAACCCACTAATTAGGTTTTTTGGGATTAAATTGATATCAAGGTCTTCGGTTTGTTTTATTATTTTTATATTTCTTGGTTCAGGTGTTGAATCGTATTGTTAGTCTGCATTAAGTTTTGTATCTTCCACTAAATGCACAAGCTTTTACGGAATGTTGATTGATTTATTTAAGTATAACTGTATCCTTGGGGATGATATGAAATTGTCTTTGAAATTTAGGTTCGTTAAGAGTTTGTAAATTTATTGCATTTTGTTGGCTTTCGCCTAATAGAAGAAGTTGAATTGTATGGATTCCCTGTTGTGCTTTCTTCCTAATATTAGTACCATAATTTAAAATCTTTGATGATTCTTGAAATGTCGTATTGTAGTCTTGATGTCAAGAATTACTTATATCTTCTATGTAAATATTTTTTTCACTTAGTTAATTTATTTGCAATCAGTTCAATCCGAGGCTTCCGAAAAGTTAAAAGCTACTTTTAGACAAAAGTTTTCTAAGGTGAAGCTCTTTTGCTCCCGGCCAAACGGGCCCTTAGCCTTTATTGATGGTATTAAAGTAGACACTCTTCATATATTTGAGTTATGAAGCCAATTAATCACCAAGGAGTTGGAATTGAACTGTGCACCTTTCCTACTTCATTTGTTCCTTTTTATTGCCGGAAAAAGGCATATCATCTCAGGCTATCGGATCATATTTTCTGACTTTTCTTTACCTCTTTTCCTGTTGTGAACTTCATTCTAGCAACCTACTATGTTTGAGAATACTGATTGCCTTAGTGCTCTTAAGAGTTATCCTTCCTGTGAAGTCCACTGATACTATCAGACATCTCAAAAGAATCTTTGTTAGAGTTGAAGAGCCAGGGAGTCTTTTGTTTAGTTTTTAATTATGCTAGAAAAATTTGAGCCAAAGAGTTAGTAAAAGGGAAAAAAATCAGATCTTTATTAGATTTTGATTAAAGTTATGGAATGTGTGGTTGAAAAGTTGTGGGTCTTTTGAAATTGTTGTTAAAATGATTGTTTTTGCGGAACCAAACTGGGGCTAAGTGTTGTTTTGGAAAACCACGAGTCATTACTTTGTTTAAAAGATTCTTTATACCTTGGTGAAAAAGAAGAAAAAGTTATCTTCAACACATTATCAGTTCTATGAGAACATTTGCTTCCATTTTCATCTTTCTAAAGAAATATGCACTCCAACAATGTTGAGAATTGATATCTTTCATCAAAGTAGCATGTTAGATCCTTTCTCATCGTAGTGTTGGGATACAAAGGGAGAGCTACTCCAGAAATGTCAAATTTTAATTTTACATGGTAGCTATGTGGTTTACTCCTGAACGTGATCGAGATCCACGTATGAAATTAATATGTCCATAAATTTACTGGAGAAGAATAACTGAAAGAAGTATTAGATCGATTGTAAAATTGAAAGAGTAGTGTAAAAGATATAGTGAAGAAAGTGGAGTTTCGTTATATGGTAACTCCCAAGTATCAAGGTTCCATCTCTTTTTCATAAGATTTAAATTGGTCGTTAGTTACAACAGATTGCAAAAATAATTTCGTTAATGGGACTCGAGGCAATGGGTTTAGATGAGAGTGCCTTGCACATTCTCCCTGGCAGCTGAAGTAGCTTCAGAAGCTTTTGTAGACACTCGTGTCTCTTCTTATGTCATGTAAGCTGCTTTTCTGCTGAACAGCGTCTGAATCAATTATTTGTAGAGCATTATCAATATGAAGTTTGTTTTATTTCAGTGTTGAGGGGTGCAGATATATCACATGAGCAGATTTTGATAGCTTAATAAAAAGTGTTGCACATTTAGAAAGAGATCGATATGTTTGTCATTGTAATGGTTGCAAACTCGGAAATATTTTGTGATCAAACTACTTCAGAGTAGGTGAAACAATTTCAACCAAACGCACTTTTGATGTCTATATCTATTGATTTCATATATTGCCTGCAAATAATTAGTAACGTGCTTGTTTGCTTATGCACAGGTGTGTGAGAGTCATCCAAATGCTGCAATCTTGCTGCGAGCAATGCGAATATAAGTCGACACATTGTGCATCAGTATCTGGCCTTCTAAAGCAAATAAACAAGTAAATCTTTGGAACATATTGAATTTTCATATCTCAAATTTTTGGGATAAAAAATAAGTTGACCCTGATGTGGTTTCAGCAAGTTACTGGGACTTGTATGGTTTAACATTGTCTGAAAGCAATTTAAACTTGTTGACTCTCAAAATGTAATACCGTACTGTGTACTTGACAAAATCACAGAGAAGAGGATAGCAATTTTTTGTTCTTTTTATGTGTTAGGGTTCCTACTTTAGGTCGATCAAAGTTTTGTAATAAATAAGTTTGTTTATTAGTTTCATTTGGATGCAAATGCTTCACTCTCAAAGCGTGGAACACAAGATTGATTCTAATGCCTTCTCTGAGATGTACCAAGGCGAAAGTATGGTGCACAATGACTTTGTTTTTTCATTTTTCACCCAAGGCACTTCATAGTTCAAAATACATGCAATCCAGGCTTCAAAATTAAAATATTCTCAAACGTCGCAAATAAATTTAAGTATCTTTCAACATTATTTATCTTGATGTGTTTATGGGAAGGATGGAGATTCAAACTCTTACCACATGGAAACAATCTTTTATGGAACTTCAGTTGTAATTGGTCATAACTGAGATACCACCGGTTTTGCTTGGTGGGCCGGGAATGATCGACTTATTATCTGGTAAACTACAAGGGACTCGTGGAATGTGAAGTACCATGAAGCTGGTTTTTGACTTGAAGTTATCTGTTGAGCCTTGGTACCGCTCCAATACTTCTACAGCAGATAAAAAAAAAAAAAAAAAAATTCGACTGCTGACTGGAAATAGTAGTTTTCAAGAAACAACTCATTCTTTCCTTCCTACTGTATACAAAAAGGTTCTTGAGTATATGACCAGTATTTGATACAATACAATTACAGGGGTCGCTCTTTCCCAAAGATATTGTTTTTGAGGGACTGCAGGCTCGACCAAAATAGAAGCGGTTATGCTGCTCTCGAGGATTCCTGCCGTTTTAGTGGGATACCTTCTTGACCAAAACCATCTTCCTCATCACCATGTTTGGGAAGTCGCAAAGGCACGACTGTCGAACCTGCATTAGATTAGTTATTTGAGTGTGAAATGCTTATAAGCCCTATTGTCGCTATAAGCTCTTATGGAATAGAGAAGCTAGAAATGCTTATAACTGGGTAGCACAACTTTTTGAGCTTAAGCACTTGAGTCGCTTGTCTGTCGAATTTATAAGCAATATGAAGCCCTCCAACAGCTTAAGAGCACCGCGTCTACAAGCTATTAACGTGGGTGGGGTGTGGGAGTATCAGCCACTATAAGTCCACAAGAAAGAATATGCACGTACCATCAGCCATGTCTTTTGTTTTATGGAGGAGAAAAGTTCCAGAAAGGATTGTCACAAACCCACACATTTCGGTGACAATCTGGGTAGGATTCTGTCTATCCCAATCCTGTTCATATAAACAAACTTGAGATCATTCTCAATTGCGGGATGATAAACGAAATCTCTAAGAAAAATCTACAAAATACTCTAGCAGAGATGGTGACTTCCATGCTTTGCCACAAATCAAGTTCTAAATCACATAAGAGCAAGGAACAAGCCAACTTAAAGTTCTAAACAATGGGATGTGCACAAAAGCATGCATTACAAGGACAATGTGTCAAGAAGCACAACCTTCATTACAATTGGTCATGATATGCACCACTAGTCATGTAATTAAATCCCACCCACTGACCCAAAAAAAGGGGAAAAAAGAAAACAGAAAGAAAAGAAGACAAAAACATATAAAAAAAGGTAAACGTTATATATACTAAAGAAAAGGAATGGGTATTCTGCTATATAGTCAAGGAAATTGAAAGTTCCACCTATATTCAGGTAGGTTTATTCTACTTGGACAGGCTCCTGTCCAAGTAACAAGGCTCATTCAGGTAATAGGTATTTTACAATTAATGAAATATTCAAAAGTCCCATTTGTGAAAATGAGTTCCATCGTTTCTGAGGTACACTAGTAAGACATAAGCACCTGATCAGAAGCAAATTTACCTTGAACATGATTACACTTGCCAATATAGTCAAGGACGTGAACATAACATAGTAAATTGGTGAAACCACAGCAGTGTTGAATGTGTCAAGAGCCTGCATTCAAGATTCACTCGATACATGAATATAGAGATAGGGAAAAAAGAAAGCTATTTCAGAGCAGTGTAGAACTATGAAAAGTCATATGCCTCAAAAAATTTAAAGCTGAAGCACCAAATATATGTTCATGTCTACAAGTCTAAAATGAGATGAATGGAAGTATAGATTAATTCTCTCCATATCTAACAAGACAATTTCATTCTGTAACAAGTCTAAGCTTTGCCTCACTTTGATACTCAAGCATACGGGCATCCTATGAGTTGAGAGATCAAAATAAATGAGTTCTTATTGATGAATAAAAATTTTGAGCTGACTGGCAGGAAAATCCAGGTGTCTAGCACAGCTGTCTTATAGGCTCTTCGCCCAAGGCCCAAAGCTATCCTTTTAGTGGTCACGTTTTGTACTTATCAACAAAAATTGAAGTGCAAGTTCAAAGCTAATTTCACTATTCATCACCAGGGTAAAGAAATAATCATGAACTCAGAAACATTCTTGACCTTGTTCAAGTAATTCATTTGGGTAAGTACACAAACAGTGACAACCAAGGCAAAGGTCCATGTCTGCGGATATATCAGCTGGTTCATTCCTGATAATGTTACCTTCAATGCAATTCCAAGTGCTTTGACACTCATGACCTGCCAGATTATTCTCCACAATGTTAAATTCATACAGAACCATCTTAAATATTTTCATGGAGCGAGAGACCGAATTGAAGAAGAGATCTCATCGAAAATAACATTGCCTACCGATAAAGAACCAACTAGTGAGCAAACACTGATGTAGAACATTATATGCGTCTGTCCAAATTGTGGGATATAGTGAAATATTAGGATTAAAACAACTGCTATCACCAGAGCTGCATAAAAGAGAAAAGCTGCAGGAGATAATTGGTCATTAAGGCGAGCAGGTAGTGTGTGAAGAATAGAAGCACAAAACACGATACCAATTAAATAGTTTATGAAAATACTGTAGTACGATAACACAACTGGCTTTGGAGACAAATAGGTGTACCTGGCTCAGTAGCAAGATCCCATACTTCTTTCACAGATTCAATCTCACGTTCCTGTGGAGCATGTAGAACAATTGTGGTGGAACCCACAACGCATAAAGCACAACCAAGAATTCCAAAAATGTGTAGCTTCTCTCGTAAAATAATGTGTGCTAGTACAGCGCTGCCGGACATGCATGGTGATCACTGATCAGTAGACAAAACCGAAAATCATATTTGATTGTCTCAAAAATGATACCTTACCTGATGATAATACTGAGCGCACCAAGAGGAGTGACCAGAATGGCTGGTGCAAATGCATAAGCTGCAAAATTGGCAATTTCTCCAACAATCACTGCATCAACAGTAAGCACCCACAAAACATTTAGCTTCAGTAGAATCAGAGAAAAAAAACTCACAGAGTATCAAGCTGAAGGACCCCGAATAAATTATCTTATATCAAGAATTAGTGAATTGTATTCATGGTGATAGGGAAAAAAAAAAAATTCTAAATCGGCTGTCCTCATCCATGAGGGAAGCATTTCACCTTGAGGTGCTTCAAGGATAAATCCTAGAGAGAAACCAATCAAATAAATTGAAAATTTATGAAAATACACGGTTATATTCGTAATGAACCATAAACCATCTAAATAATCCATCAATCTATTTTATGTTTTTTTGAATCTTAGACTTTTAAATTTATTTATTTATTTATTTATTTATTTTTTTATGAGCATATTTTGTCTTGAGCCTTCAACCCCAGTACACCTAGAAGTTTACACCTCGCAAACATAAAAAGCCAAGGCACCTGATTGAGCCTTTATAAATATTGAACGAAACTTACCATTTTCATAGAAATTTTGAGTACAAGTAGGAATAGGATTTCTGAATAGTGTAGACAATTGATTTGAGCTTTCAATTAATTCCCACAAATTCTCTCTAGATTTATTCTTTCTCGCTTCGTTCTCTCTTACCCATCTTTTGTGTCTCTTGTTGTGCAACAAGTACATATATCAATTTTTGGTCTATTTATCTTATCGTAGTTTTTATTGATCATGATTTGTGGTGATCTATCTAACAAGCCATACAAAATTGTTTGTTTATTTTCAGGACACCATTTCTCTTATGTAATGGTGCTATTACTATCTATTATGCAACTTCACATGTACTGAACACATTTTAATTTTTCATTTTATTTCTGTAAAAGCAATGAAGTTGCTATGATTAGCATTACTAGGCACTGTCATGTCAAAGTCTAAATATATGGACACAAGCTCTGAATGTGCCTAGGACAATGGCAAATATCCTTTTCACTAATTTTGAAATATGCGATGTTAAGCTTTTGGGGGTAGTAGATGAAAGCTTTATGCGTTTTAGGACTTCTAAAGAAACGATGAAGAAAGAGTTTTCTATTTATTGTACATAATTCTTACAACTCACCTTCAATATATACTACAGTACAATGGATAAAGGAAGGAAAGATAATATTCTATTCCTAAATTAGCTCTAAATATTCCATACTATAAATATTACAATCCCCCATAATTGAAGCATAATTGGTACGTGATTTCCACACTCCCCTCAAGTTGTATCATAGATATTGATCATATCCAACTTGCAAATGCAATCATCGAATATTTGTCTCTGGTGAATACGTCTGAAGTCTGTTTTCTGGTAAGGATGTAAATCACGCAAATAGTTCCGCTTTCAACCTTTTCCTTGATGAAATGTCTTTCCAACTCTACATGTTTTGTTCTATCATGTTGAACTGGGTTGAGTGAAATGTTGATAGCTGCTTTATTATCACAGTAGAGTTTGATAGGAAATTTTGATAAAATCTGTAGTTCATCTAACAGTTTCTTCAACCATAAACCTTACGCTCTACTTCTAGCTACTACATTCTGTTTCTTACTTCTCCACGTTACTAAGTTTTCTCCGTACAAAAGTACAATAGCCAGTGGTTGATCTCCTATCTTCTATTGCTCCAACCCAGTCAGCATTGGTGAATATTTCTACCTCTCTTTTCTCATTTTTCTTGAACAGTAGTCCTTTTCCAAGGGAGCTTTAAGGTATCTCAGAATCCTGTATCCTGCTTCTAGATGTGTTTCCCTTGGAGCATGCATGTGTTGGCTTACTGCAAATGCAATATCTGGTCTAGTATGAGATAGGTAAATTAATCTTCCAGCCAGTTTTTGATATCTCTCATTTTCAACAAATTCTCTAGTGTTATCCATTTTCCTTCCTGTGTCCATGGGAGTATCACATGGTTTACACCCGAGCACACCAGTTTCAACAAGGAGATCTAGAACATATTTTGGTTGTGACACACTTATCCCTTTCTTCGATCTAGCTACTTCCATTCCTAGGAAATATCGCATTTGTCCCGGGTCTTTCACTTCAAATTCTGCATTCAATCCTCTTTTTAGCCTTTCTATCTCAACTACTTTATCTCCAGTGAGAATTATATCGTCAACATAGACAATTAGGATAGTCTTTGTCCCATCTTCAAACAATCTGAAAAACATAATATGATCTGATTACCCTTGTTGGTATCCCTATCCTTTTAACACTTGCGAATCTGTCAAACCATGCCCTAGGTGATTGTTTTAGACCATATAATGATTTCTTTAGTTTGCATACTTTATTTCCTTCATTTTCCTTGGAAAATCCAGGTGGTAGTATCATATAGACCTCTTCTTACAACTCTCCATTCAGGAATGCTTTCTTAATATCAAGCTGTTGGAGTTGCCAATCCATATTTGCTGCTAGTGATAGGATAACTCAGACTATATTCAATTTTGCAACTGGTACGAATGTTTCTATGTAATCTATGCCATAGGTTTGAGTATATCCTTTTGCAACCAGACAAGCCTTGTACCGTTCGAGTATATCCTTTTGCAACCAGACGAGCCTTGTATCGTTCTATCATTCCATCTACTTTATATTTAACATTAAACACCCATTTACACCCAATAAGTTTTTTTCCTCTTGGAAGTTCCATCACATCCCATATTTTGTTTGATTCCAAAGCTTTCATTTCATCCATCACTTTCTCCACTTGGGATTTTCAGGGCCTCTTGAATGTTTCTTGGACTTTCTATGCTATCAAGGTTAGAAACAAATGATCTAAATTTTGGAGATAAGAGTATTATAAGCAACAAATTTTGAGATAGGGTGAAGAGTGCATGACCGAGTTTGTTTCCTCAGAGCAATTGGTAGATCATCAATGTCAGGTGATTTTGGAGAGAGTTCATGAGGATTTGGAGCTATTACCGATTCGGACTCTCTTGGTGCCCGAGTGTGAGTTTCTTCTTATCCTTTGATTTTGGCTTTTGTGAGTACACAATCATCTCTTTGTCATGTTGTTCTTTCTGTTCTCCCCCATGAGTTTAAGTTGAAACAAAATGTTAAATATTTACACAAATGGGCTTTCCTTCCCGGAGGGTGTTAATTAGCTCCCCATCATATTTACATGGGCTAATACTCCACCTTTCCTTCGGTACGCTAAACCTGACCTTCGTCCAACAGTTAGTTCTAGCTATGGGTAATTTGAATTCAAAGCGAGCCTCTGCGAACTACTCCTTCGACTAGGCTCCTCGTGAGGGGTCGGATCTATCTTTTCTACGTGATATCTGGCCACTGCCTTAGCTAAATCAAGACAAGTTGCTCTAGCTTACATTTTCGACTCCTCCCGAAAGAGGGAAGCAGTCTTTTAGGCCCAGGTCGCTTGCTTGGAATCTCAGTCAAGCATATTCACAATCATTGGGAAAATGGCAAGAATATGGTGGTAATGTAGATAGACTGTTTGGGATAGAGTTGGAGCTTGGTGGTGTAAATTCAGTATTTGGGATGGTGTTAGATAGGTAGGATCTCCCCTTAAAGAGAGGTTTGTTGAAAGTAACGGTTGTTTTCGAAGAAAGTGACATCAAGGCTGACAAATAATATTTTTGTTGTTGGGTCATAGCATTTATACCCTTTTTGCGTAGGCAAATATCCAATTAATACACATTTAATTACACGGGGTTCGAGTTTGTTGCGATGATGGGAATGTATGTGGACAAAGACAGTACACCCAAATACTTTTAGGGGCAGATTGGAGGTGAGTCGAGTGTTAGGAAAAAAATTCTGGAAATTTTGGAGAGGAATTTCGAAATTCAAAGAACGGCTAGGCATTCTGTTAATAAGGTATGCTAATGTGAGAATAGCATCACCCCAAAAATATTTTTGCATATTTGTAGTGAACATTAGGGCCCGAGTTACCTCAAGTAAGTGTCTATTTTTTTGTTCAGCAACCCCATTTTATTGGGAAGTATCAACACAAAAACTCTGGTGAATAATTCCATTGTCTTGGAGATAGGTTCTTAGTGTACTATTGAAATGCTCTGTCACGTTGCCCGTACGCAAAATTTGAATTTTTGTCTGAAATTGGGTTTGAACCATTGAGTGGAAATTTATGAACACAGAACGGACATCGATTTTTTCTTTTATCATATAAACCCAACAAAGTCTAATATGGTCATCGATAAATGTGACAAACCACTTTGTGTGGGTACGATTAGGGGTTTGGGAGGGTCCCCATAGATCACTGTGTATTGGGTGAATGGTCGACATGGTTTATATACAGATTTTTTGAACGAAAAACGATGATGTTTTGCAAGCTCACAAATATCACATCGAAAATTGAAAAGTGTTTTATTCAAAAAAAGTGAAGGAAATACATGTCTTAGATATTGAAAATTGGGATGGCCCATTCTATAATGTCATAAAAGAATTTCACTATTCTTAGGAACAAAAAAAGAATCATAACTAGCAAATCGACTTTGTTGACTTACATTAGTCTCATCAAAGTAATAAAGTCTCTCACACTCTTTAGCACTGCCAATCGTCTTCTCCAATAATAGATCCTGAAAGACACAGAAAGAAGAGAAAAAATTAGTAGAGCAATTTGAACTTTTTGTTAATTGACTGATAGACAATAAACTGCATGATAGGTTTGGGACATGTAGAACATTTTCGAGCGTGATTGAATTAGAGATTCGAATAATCTCTTTTCCCGCCACTGGGAATAGAAAGCCGTCTGCAATTTTGACTTCAAGATTTCTAGCACAAGGTGAGTATGAAATAAAGAGGTAGTGTGAGTCCGTCATGTGATCGGACGCACCAGAATCGATAATCCAAGGTGTTTTTTAGAGTAAGGCAATGTTAAGGCCTCTCAGGATATTACCTTTATGAGCTAAAGAACTTGAGGAGCTGGATGATTGAAAGTTGGATAAGATTTTTTGAAGTTGTTCTAGCTATTCAGGACTGAATGCGTTGCTGGAAGCGGAATTTTGTAATTCAGACGGATTGACTGTAGCTTGGTAGCCTTGGTTCCTGGGGCTTTGTCTTGGTTTTCGATCAGACGACTTTCCATGCAAGTCCAGCATGTATCCTCTTTGTACCCATGTTTCCTACAGTGTTCGAACCATGGGCGACTACTTTGTTGTCTTGGGCCGGCTCCAATTTTTCTTGTTCCTCTAAGCACTTGGGTTCCCAAATCAGGCCCACCATATTTAGGCCCATCATGTGAATTTTTCTTACGCTTGGCTACAATTCCTTTAGGCCCAAAGTCATGAGGCCCAATTGGCCAATAGAATCAAATAATAGGGCTGATCCATCCACACGTTCATTAGGCCCAAATCCTTCTTTCTTCAACATAATCAACCGGAAACTCTCCTCGCGTTGTACCTCGGCGAAGGCATCCCGAGTAGAGGGCAGTAGCTGACGGCTGAGAATCCGACCTCTCACGTCATCGAGCTCTCTATCTAAACCAACCAAAAATTTATACAGACGCTCGTTCTCTATCCTCTTATTATACCGAACACCATCATTGGGGCAATCCCATGTTTCATCCATACTCAGGTCCAAATCCTGCCACAATGAGGTCATCTCCATATAGTACTCAGTGACATTCCGTTTTCCTTGCTTCGCCTTCCAAAGTTTGGTCTTAATTTCGAAAATCTAGTATGAATCTTCCGTGTCAGAGTACATCTCTCGAACAATGTCCCATATGTCCTTCACAGTCGCCATGAAGAGGTAGATTTTGCCGATTGACGGTGCCATTGAGTTGACGAGCCATGAAATAACCATAAAATTTTCAGATTTGCACCTTTGCTGAAGAACGGGATCTGCATGTTGCTTCGTGTCGCCGGTAAGGTGCCCTATTTTTCCTTTTCCTTCGACCACAAGCTTAATGGATTGAGCCCATTCTCTATAGTTTCTTGAGTTTCTCGACTATGAGTTGGAATGAGGAATTACCAATCCCAATTGAAGCCATAGTGTGACCAGTTTCAGTCCCATTGGTTCCGAACTCGGCGGTGGCTGAAGTTGTACTATTGGCAGTGGTTTCTGCCATCGATAGCCGAGTTTGATTTTACCTTGGCTCTGACACCTTAAAGAAACGATGAAGAAAGAGTTTTCTATTTATTGTACATAATTCTTACAACTCACCTTCAATATATACTACAATACAATGGATGAAGAAAGGAAAGATATTATTCTATTCCTAAATTAGCTCTAAATATTCCATACTACAAATATTACAATCTCCCATAATTGAAGCATGATTGCTACAGGATTTCCACAACTTTGATTTGCATAAATATAGCCATTAAGAATAAGTGGTGAAACTATTTGGTGATTTTCAATTCCTTGCTACATTTTCAGGCGTTAAGTAATTTTTCTATATGTCTATACCTGTAAGTTTCTTGTCTGAACATTTCAAAGTTCAATTGTAGAATATTTTACTTATTCTTTCACAATTTCACTTGAACTCATCTTTTAGATCCTAAAGTGTTTCCTGACTGTTCTAACTCAAAATTTATCTTTGCACTAGTCTCATCAATTACAACTATGTCGTCAGCAAATAATATTCACCAATGAACCACACATTCAATGTGTCTCAAGTTTATCTATGACAAAAACAAAACCACAAGTACTCAAGGAAGAACTTTGATCCGAACCAATAGAAATAGGTAACTGTTAACTATTTTCCCACTAGATCATATATATCTTAACAATATTGATAGATCTAACAAAAAAATATGCCAATCACCTATCCCATAATATCACACACTGACTCATAAAATTAATATCATTATAAGTTGTACAATCTTGAATAACTATTTTATTCTTATAAACTCATCCATCGTGCATCTTTTTACTCTTCCTTGAATCGTTTCATCAACCATAAAAATACCTACCTCGTGGAGACATTTCCATATTTCAAAGAGGATTCCATATGGAACAGTTAGTTTTCTCATCTTTGACCTCAGTCTCCCTCCTCAAATTTGAATCCATTTAGTATATTTTAAATATAAATTTTGAATAGAGTTTTACACGTTTCCTAGATCTACAGTACACCTCCCACAAAATAATATGGCAAAATAATTCCTCCATCGTTCTATGACTCATTGTTATGAAATAAAACTCTACGGTTTCAAATGCTTATGACTAAGACTCCTGGACACATGAAATCTTCAACTTTTCAAAAAGCCTCCACAATTTAAACTTCATTTCTTTATTAGGGAAATAAACAGAGAGAATACAAGGTACACAAATTAGATGTAGAGTAATGTATAGAGAAAATGTGGTGAATAAATTAGGTCAAGCAAGGTTATGCATCTCATCTTTCTTAAAATACTCAGTTCGAATCAAAGAAGAGTGAGAAGAAATAGTCCGTGGTTAACAAGATTTTTTTTCTTGCTTACAAGGTGTGCAAGGTGATATAACATTATTTTCTTAAAAATATAGTCATAGCATATGCTCCACTCACAATAGATATACAATATTAAGTAACAAATAGAAATAAATAACCTACTTGTTATCATGCCCACCCACCATAGTGGCTCGTATAGGTATGAATATCCTCCAACCCCTGAGGAGAAAGGTACAAGTAAAAGAAATATTAAAGGCTTGATAAAAGAGAACCAGACCTATTACATAAAAACAGAGGAAACAAAACCTAAGGAAAAACTAAGCACGGTTATATCCCACGACAGAAATAAGGAGAACATGATTATAATCACAAAAGAGATTTGCAAAGCATTAGTGAAAGTTTTAGGAAATTAGAGGGAATACACAATATATGATTCAAATACACCAGAATAGTAAATGGAGTTTGCACAGAAAAAATTCCTAAGCATATAAGTTGTCACCATATCTTCACTGATTCATGTGGCAATGATAGGTTGCTTTATTTATTGAGGAATATAGCCTAAAGAATTTGAAGAATCAGTGCTGCATTAGAGTTGGCAAAAGTCTTTGGCATGTGAGGGTAAGAACATCTGATGATTACATACGTAAAAGATATTCAACGTAACCTTACTAGCGAATAGCTACTGCATTATAAAGTGATAAATATAAAAGCCACTTAACGATATCTTTTGATGGACTCGCATGGTATCCAATTATCAAATTGACTTAAGTGGGTAGATAGAATAATTCAACAGATGATGAAAGTGTCGATGGATGATTTCCTTTAATTTAGAGGAAATGGATCTATCAATTTGATCCATATCCAAAATAGATACAAGTGGTCAAGGCAAGCTTGATACAAAAGCCACTGCTCACCCTAACTTGAGGAATGAATTAGGACATTGGGTTTTCAAACAAAAGTTGTGTCCAATCATGAACATTTAAGAATTATGTATGCCTCAATTAGACTAGCAATTCTCAATAATAAAGTTCGTAATTATGGCGCTAAAAAAAATTTCCGATAAACAAATCACTACAGGAAAAAGGCTAACATAGCACTTCAAAAGCCATACTTACATTGTAAGAATGGAAGTTTACCATTTAGCATGGCTCGTGAAATCAAGGTAACAACTCTTTTTCCAATTATACGCCTAACATAATCAACCAAACTATCTTTCTAAAGCAAATTCCCACCGGATTGAATTTTCCAAACAAACATTGTAAACGCATTAATTGATACAATTAACTTTTCTCAAATGCCACTGGAAAACCCAAGATCTCAACAACTAAACATAATCAAGTAATAAGGGTAGCAGTTTCCTATCATGCTACAACAAAATTCGTTTTAGTGTGTTAAAATAAGATATCGAACAACTAGGTAACCTCAATTATCAACATTTCCACAGCTGAAATTAAAATGATAAAATAGCCCCAATAAATATAACATGCAAGTACCCGCCCTAATGCCAGCGGAGCCGGCTTTCTTTAATCCCTTTTTCTTAACAATGAAGCTGGCACCAATGAAGAAGCTGGACGACAATGCCAGCACCAACCCTTTTATGTTGTCAGATGACATCCCCTTGTACGAACCCGACATCGCAGTAGCCACGACCACCTCCGACGGCGCCATCTAAACCCCTCCCAGAAGAACCCCAAAATTCAAGCTATCACAATCTCATTATATACCGCTTCAACAATTAAAAAAAAATTGGGTTAAACAAATGGGTTTCTTCCCCTTTCGCAGCTCTAACTTCCGGTTCAGTAAAATTACAAGCCTTTCGGGATCTTACGGTACAAAAAGAAAACAATAATCATGGAATGGGATTTTTTTTCAGGTTTTGGAATTTATGCAGAAGATCTAATAGTTGCTTGTTGCGCAAAGGCACGTCTGGGTTTTGGTTGATTGCTTCAGATCAGATAAAAACAGTCGAGTGAAGGGAAATTCGGGGAGTGAATTAGTAGTAATTAGAAATATTACCAAAATAAGACTCGTCTCCTAATGAGAGAAGAAGAGAACAACATGCTATCTAATTGTAAAACCTTTTTTTTTTTTTTTTTTTTGTAAAACAAATTATACGCGTTTTCTCTGTTTTTCCAAGAATTGTCCTTGTTTGAGCCCATTTTTCTGAAAAAATATATTCTTTAATATTATTTTGACATCATTTCAATCACATATTTTTCAATAAAATAATATTACACGAAAATCTAAAATTTTTTCTTATTTTTTAACCACACATTTCAAATCATTACACTATTCAAAAATGCATTTTCTTAAAAAAATGGGACTCAAACAAGGGTTTTCTTTTTGGCATTTTACTAATTTTGTGACGAAGAGCAAGGGAAAAATAAAGAAGATGGAAGATGCTCAAGAAAATGTAATTCTCATGTGAGTCGATTTTTTTTTTTAGGGTGCAATCCGTGAATAAATTCTGTGGTCCAGTGATCTGAGAATATTCTAATTGGTAATTTAACTGTGAAAAAAAATTGAAATAAATTTTATTTAAAATCTACTAAAAATTTATATCCCGTTTGGTAGCCATTTTTTTTTTCAACCACACATTTTTTATTAAAATAATATTATACGTAAATAAAAAAAAATTCTTTATTTCTCTACCACACATTTCAACTCAATTTACTATTCTAAAATGCATTTTTATATAAAAATGTCTATCAAACACTCCCTTAATTTTTATCAAAGTCAAATAAGGGATAGGTAATAAATATTAGAATAAGAAAACTAAATATTGCTCATTAATAAGGGGTTTATTTGGTTTGGAGCTCTTATTTGGGATCACGATTGAGCTGTGAGTTCCTACTTCCTATGGAAAAGCAAGTGATTGAGGTGTTTCTTCATCGACGATGTGGAGGCAATGGCATTGGAGAAGGAGCTAATTTTTGCTCATTCCAATGACTTTTGACTTCAGTTGCTCAATGTGAGTTATTATTAAGCCCTCATTTGTTTCCTACTATTTTTTCATTAAAATGAAAAATATGATTGTTATCCATCATATCAAGCCACCAAATTTAAATTTTATCTCTTGTGTAGAGCCCGTAACGACTATATTTTTCATTCTCATTCTTCCAAAAATGATAAACAAACGAGGTCTAAGTGCATAGCTTAGTTTCTGATTTCATTTTCAATTTTTTTATTGGACATAGATGGTAATCATTGCATTTTTTTTTTAATGACGGGGAATCCGCAGCCGCTACCTTTAGGGTACACTGGGTAAACTTTCGGACTGACGTAATAGCCTACAAACTATGCCAGTCAAATAAATCGTACTAGATAAGTCAGGTGTGATAGGCTCGATTGAAAAAGTATTGGTATGGAGAATTGAACTCGTGATCAAAGGTCATTGCACTTTCATCCTATTAGAAGAGAACGAAATGGTTCACGAGCTCACATTAGTTGAATTCATTTTATTCCTCTAGTCCTCTCGCTATTTGTGTTGGGCGAGTTTGGCTAATAAATTGTTTGGATTTCAAAAATAAAAATAAAAATTACATTTGTCCTATATTAAAATTAGATAAAGGGTGGTAATGTTGACGCACTACACACAAACCCTTTTTTTTCCCCCTTTAAATGCTCCATATTTTAATTGCATTATGAGGTTCCTAATTTTTATTCATTGTTACATTTTGTTCTTAAATTTTAATCCATTTTTAGTCTTGACCTTTTATTAATTACTAAATTTTGTCCAAAATCAATTTTTTTGTCTTAAAATTATGGTTAGTGTTCTTTAAAAAGATCACAGCTTTGAATTTTTTTGCTTATTCAAAAATCCGAGGAATAAGTAATTTTTTTACTCACTCTTAACATAATATTTGAATGAAAATTGTCATCAATAAAAAGATGTACTAATTAATAAAACGTTGAAGGTGGTGTCAATATATTTAGTTTAGATAAATAAAAAAAATACAAAATTAAGCCCTCGTTTGGTCCTCATTATTTGAAATTTAAATGATTGGAATATTTCTTCAAAAAAATATGTGACTAAAAAATAAGAAAATTTTTGAATTACGTGCAATATTATTGCATTGTAAAATGTGTGATTGATAAGAAAAAAGAGAAAAATAAATTATAATTTTAAGTGGAAATTGGGACAAACGGCCTCTTTCATAATACATTTTGCATTTTTAGCCTTTGACTAGAATACAAATTTTAAAATAAATATATTAAATCCAAATTAATAAAATACCTAAATTACCCTCCTTACATCACAGAAAATTTTGCCTTCCTGTTTCCCAAATTGATTGAACCCTTCCAATCATTTTCTTCTTTATCCAATACTACCATCGTCTCTTCCCATTTGGAACGCCACCACTCCAAAATCCTTTGCCATCTCCCTTTATTTTGCCATGTCTTCTTCATCTAACCAGGTAGTGTTCGCTACCACCGTCGTGAACAGCCTCAACCTGAATAATCACTGTTGCGAATAACCATTCAAGTAACCAATGTTTTGAACTTTAAAACCCCTTTTTCTCTTATACATAAGATTTGCTTTGCTTCTATGTCTATATGTGATAAAGTAATGACTGCAATTTTTTACTTTATCTTTTGAGGACGTAGCAATTTGATTTGTTTATATAGTGAAAAGCGATATGTATTCTTGAAAATCTTTCGCCTACTGAGCTGTGTGGTATGGCAAGAGTGTGTAAGAATTTGAGAGAGAAGTGTAAAAGTGATCATTTATAGAGTAATATATGAATCAAAAATTGGAAAGACTAGTTGGTGATGCTTCATATATAGAATGGCTACGCCAGAATGATTCAAGAATAACTGGCGATCCTGTAATGTACAAAAGCCCATTTCAAAGTTTTTTAATGTTTTATTATTAATCGTTTTTTGAATAGATCAAAGATAGAGATGGGAGATAGCAAGTTTAGAAGTTCAAAACAAGAAATTCAATTATGTCTTGCTATATGGCTCTTGAAATCGGAAAGTTTTAATTCTCGGCTCAGGTGTATTATCGCGATGTAACTTTCTCGATATGCATGTGATTGTTTGACTCTTTAAAACTAGCTAGTACTGTGTGCCAAACACGCATCTTGATATTTTGAGGGAGTGAATGAGCATATTGATTTTTTTATCGATAAATGTAAATATTATTGATAAAAAAATGTTTCATATACAAGTACACCGGGCATTCCTGGATGAATCAAAAACCAATATCACATACAATTACTCCGAGAGTACCTAGGTAAAACAAAAATAAATGTAATGCAATGAAAATTAATGACCCAACACTAAAGACTCGAAATGGATCAAGACATCCGAATACAAAGAGAACATAACTTTGTATACGTGTGTCTTGGTCCGTCTCACAATACAATCTAAATTAGGTGACAGGTCTTCAAAAATCTTTCTACTACGTATTAACCAAATGTAGTAGACGGTGCTTGCAAGTGCAATCCGCTTAGCCTTGTTAAGCCATGAAGTCTCTCAGGCCTCTTTTTTCAACCACTTAAGAGCGCTAGCAAGTGTAGACATAGATTTTTTGATTCCAAGCCACTGTCTAATATTCTCCTATAATGTTGGAGTGAAATAACATTCAGAGAATAAGTGACGAACTGTTTCCTCCATATGCCCGCAAAAATCACACTTGCGATCAATATCCAAAAAATGTAGTTTGTCTTTAGTTAGGAGCTTTGATTGGGCCTCTAACCAAATCAAAAAAGGAGTGTTTCGGAATAATGCAAGGTTTCCAAACGTCGGCCGCCCAAATTTTTTTTGTACCCCTTGGCCTAAAGAAATCATATGCTGATTTTGTGGTGAATTTAGGGCCTCTTTCCCCCACTGAAAAAACTGTCCAGAAATCCCAATTTTCGATCCCCATTTTGAGCAGTTGGCAAACCCATAAAGGTGTCTAGAATTTCATGTTTTCGGTCTGTGTTGTCTCCTAGATTCGACACCCTGTTTTGAGCATTCGACAGACTCAGCGAAATGTCTAGAATCGACAGATATTGTCCCTTATTTTGAGCATGCCCAGCCGTCCGTGTGCAAGAAACTGAGGGCCAGCAAGGTTTTGAAGCAGTAGATTTCTGATTTATAGCAATTTTTTAAAGAGTGGAGAGTGATCCTTTTTAGGATGAACCTTCCAAATGCAAGCCCCTTTAAGATACACTTGGTGAACCCAACGAATCCATAGTGTGTCCTTTTTACGTGTATGCTCCAAAGGGATTTAGCAAGTAACGCTAAACTCCAACTCTTCGAGTTCTTCAAGCTGAGGCCCCATTCATCTTTTAGAAGGCAAAGATCCTTCCACGCAACTAAAGGCTTCTTAGATCCCAAAGGAATTTTCGACAATGGCTAACAATCCTTGATATAATTGTAGCCGAGATATGAAAGATAGAAAGTAAAAAACATTCAACTCCTTAAAGAACCGTCCTTATAAGTTCCACCTTGCCCGCACAAGACAAAGAAGAGTAATTTCACACACCAATATAAGTTGTAATTTTATCAAAAAATGGAGCATAACAACTACTTTTAGTTTTCCCGAAGCAAGTGGAATGTCCAAATACCGAAATGGCATACTACCACTTGGGACATTTGTGAGTTGCAAGATATCCTCAAGTAGTTGTCCATGAATCCTCGCCTTATACAAACTGAATTTGAGGATGTTCAACCTTAAACCCAATACCAAACCAAAATTTGAGAGGTAATCCATGAGAATTTTCACCGACATGACATCTCCCTAGCAAAGAGCATCAAATCATCCGTAAAAGCTAAATGGGTGATCTTTAGGGGGGCCACATTTAGGGTGATAATTGAAATCACTATCATTCGTGGAAGCTTGAGACGAAAGAAGGATTCCCACATTCCTCAATCGAAAGTCAAATCAAATCACAGTTTGATGAAAATAATAATACGGATAAAAGGATGCACACTCAATCCACTTTAAGCATTCTTGAGAAGTATTCAATGCAAAGCATGAACAAAAAGGGGGAGAGGAGATCACCTTGCCAAATGCCTTTCTTTCCTTTGAAGAACCCATGCAAACTCCCATTCAAAGCTACGTAATATGTTGGAAAAGTAA